TGACATCATCGGGACTTAACCAGGTCCATTTTGAGGCGGTTTCTGGAAGAAGGAGTTCATCATAAAGAGTCCTTTGCCATGAAGTCGACCAGCCTTTGGCCCCTGGAATTTCGCTGCCCATAACCAAATTTCCCCACTCTCGGCTCATCAACCATTCGACTGCACAGTTTGGCGTTGAAGTCCCCCATGACAACATTGAAGTATGTTCTGGAGGTATGCATGGCTTGACTTATGTCCTCACACATAACCTCTACCTTCTCATCTGGGTGTGTCGAGACCAGTGCGTAGACCTGTATGACCTTCAGCGAGTTGCGCTTGGATAGTGTGAGTATAAAGTAAGCAACCCTGCTCGACACACTCCCGATGAATGTAATGTTTCCAATAAGGAATTTGTGGACGATAAACCCGACACCACCCCGGGACTGCTGGTCACCTTCCCTGAAGTAGAACAAGTTGCCGGATTTCAGGGCTATCGTGTCCTCCCCCTCTCTACGGACTTCCGACAGCCCCACGATATCCCAGTGCAACTTGTCCACCTTCTCTTCCAGCTCGACGATCCCCTCGTCCGACCGCAATGTGCGTGTCGTGCGTTGTACATTGCCAGGGCCAAGGTCGTTCGACGGTCGAATCCCACCCGGAGATTAGAACCCCTGGTGCCAGAGCTTCCACGACATCCGTCAGTGCCTCGGTTGCTACTGGCGCCGCCGGGCACTTGGGGATGCTTTTCTGTGCTATACCTACATTCGGGGGTGTTAGATCATTTCCCCGCCACGCTCTGGTCCAATGCATATTGGCAGGTGTTGGTAGGATAGTGTTATTATATCCATATTACAAAAAAAAATTAGATCTCAACGTACCTGATTACTTTCAAACTTTGTAATCAATATGTTGTCGGAAAGGCGCATCAATTTACGTCTTGACGGCGGTTCGTTATGTCCAGCCTAGTATAGAGGTGACTTCCTCATGGATCTGGATTTAGTCCAATTCTTTACAATATTTATACCTACGACCTAGAGGTTGCTCTCCAGGACAAAGTTAGAATTTTACAATACGTCGACGATTTGCTGTTGTACGCATCTGATACTAACATTCCTAGTATTTTTTTGTGTTACGTCATTATTCCGGCATTTATGAACTGTTTTTGATGATTCTTTTGTTAGAAAGCGGGTGCCTCAGTACTGATTCCATTTAAATTTGAAGAAAATATTCCACCTCTAAGGGTAGCAAACTAGGGGATGAATCCGGTTTCGCGCTCTTTCCGGCAACCGATTCCAATTAAACTTGGCAAATAGATGTACAGGTTCCACTCTTCTGTTCTCGATCTTCATTAATTCAATTTCCCGCAGTCTAACCTCATTCTACCACCTGTATGCAGATGATTTACAAATTTACACTCACCGGCAACATCAAAACCTGCACGAAGCCATTGAGGAAATCAATAATGATCTCCGTCATATATATATATATATATACTCCATGTATGTCAATATGATACGATAATATGGTCTCAAACTTAACGCAACGAAAACGCAAATGATTGTTATTGGGAGTTCTAGAATGGTATCCAAGATAGATTGGTTTCGTTTGCCACACGTTATTATTGACGACACCTACATTAAAATTAGTGGCAATGTAAAATATCTGGGTATACTCATTAACAGGCAGCTATCTTGGGCACCACAATTAGCCGAGACCAGTCGAAAATTATTTGCGTCTGCCGCATCTCTTAGCCGGTTACATAACTTCTTGCCTATTACCACCAAAATTGCGCTTGCCTAAACACTTATTCTTCCAATTCTCGATTATGGTAATGTCTGCTATCTGGATTTAACCGAAGAACAGGTCAACAAGCTCGAATGTCTACAAAACTTTTGCATCCGTTTCATTTATGGTCTTAGAAAATTTGATCATGTTTCCATTTACCGCAAGGAGCTGAAGTGGTTACCCATTAGACTTCGTCGGAATGCTTATTCTTAATCTTCTTCATGGCATCTTATTCATTCCTCACACACCACCTTATCTTAAGGAGCGATTTGAATTCGCCCATCAGTCCAACCCCCGACTTCTGCGCTTATCTTCAACTCTCCAGCTGAAGATACCCTTGCATACCTCCCAGTACTACAACAAGTCCTTTACTGTTCAGGCTATTCTTTTGTGGAACGCTTTTATGTTTTAGAAATTTTATTATATACAGTTGTAGGAATATATAGTAGTTTATGATATTCATATATATGTATTGGTTTCATTATTTATAAATATATTTATATTTGTATTTATTTATCGTTTTTCTATTCATTGATTAGTAATTCTTCATACACCGCCGTCTTTTTCCTGTAAGTTATAAAATTACTTCCATGCAAAGGTTGTCTGGCAGAAATCGCTTAAAGCGATAAAACCGCCCATTGTATTACCGCTTATTTTTAATTTAACTGTATTTGATTTGTTTCCTTTTTGGGTGTACAATAAAGAATAGAGTATTGTATTGTTTTAAAAAAGATTGCGCATTTCATTTCCCCAGTGCTCACCCATCTTATAAACTGTTGCATCAATACAGGTTCCTTTCCCGATGCTTTTAAAAAATCCATTGTGCATCCAATCTATAAGGCGGGGGACAGACAAAGTGCTAGTAACTATAGGCCTATCTCTATTCTCGGCTCTCTATCTAAAGTTTTTGAACGCATTAATAATAATAATAATAACAAAGCACATACTCAACATAGCCCCGCACTAGGGAAAACCTGTGTCGCGGGTGCCATAGACACACATACAGACAACCACAAATTACACCCAAACTCACGAGAGAAATAAATGTAGACCATACAAATATTTCTCCCGGCCCGGGAATCGAACCTGGGACCTCTGTGTGGCAGTCCGGTATGGTAACCGTTCGGCCACGGCCACTATACAGATGATGCTGTTCATGACTTTACAGATCTTTTGGTTAAAGAACTTGACAGGGGAAAGAAATGTATCTCTACATTTATCGAACTCGCGAAAGCCTTCGATACAATCCCCGTCTCAGGCCTCATAGAGAAGCTAAACAAAATTGGCATTAGAGGAACCCAATTGAGTTTACTTACAGATTACCTCACAAATAGAACCAACGCGTCAGACTTGGGGACTACCTGAGTGACGAACTCGTAGTATTGTCGGCCCAACCCTCTTCCTGTGCTAAATTAATGAGCTCTGTCAACTACAAATACCTCACTGTAACATAATTGAATACGCAGATGATCTCTTACTTTCAGCGGTGATTCTTGGAAGGAGGTGTTTATCCGCCCAAAAGGGTGTTAATATTGTAAATCATTGGCTAGCAGCAAATTCCTTAACACCGAATGCTGATAAAACGAAATATATAATTATAAATATATAATTCTGGTGTACTGTATCCCCATTTGGGGTGCGGCGTCAAAGACTAAATTCTTAGAGTTGGAACGAGCACAACGATCACTAATTAAAGTTATGTACTTTAAAACGATTAGACATTCTACTGAAGACCTTTATCACTTGAGCAGTCTCCTCTCGGTTAGAAAATTGTATGTGCTGTTAATCATTATGAAAAAACATAAGATTGTACCATTTGACGCAAATGTGGACAATAAAAGGAGGAAAGATAAGGTACCGTATTTGCCAGTAAGCAATACACTAGATGCTCGGCCTATCTGTATAATAAAGTAAACACAGAACTACAGATTTATAAAAAAACTATTTATGAGTGCAAATGCTTGCTAGTGAAATGGTTGAAAACCCTTAGTTATGAGAATGTTGAGATATTTTTGCAATAACGTAAAGTCTAATAGGTACAACAACCACAAACTCTTTCTTTAATCTACACCTTACAATTACAAATAATACAATTCTAACCACAGTAAAATTTATACTAATTGAATATTCGCCGCATTTATTTGTATATGTAACACGGAAGAAATACTATATATTAAATTTGACACAATGTGTATATATTTATGTGTCTGTATATGTTTCGTATTTATGTAATATATATTTATTTTAAAGACATCAACCTACTCTGTATAAATATGTAACCCAATCACTGTTTCAAAATAATAAAACTAATATAACTGCTCTAATTACCTGTACTGTACAATTTAGAAATTTGTAAATTAGATGTAGTAAACAGATATGGATGTAGAAGAGCGGAGTCTCCTAACACAGGCATTGCTATGCTTAAAAGGAGATTCCAGTCACTAATACTGTAAATCTAAACTTGAAATGAAATAAATGATTATTATTGTTATTATATAACTTTCTCCATTCGTAACTCATCCTTTTTCATTGGTTTATAATATTTATACAAGGACTATAATATTTATACAAGGGCTCTTTTCCCCTCCGCTAGTACCTGCTGCTACAAAACCATAAGTAAAACCGAAAGCATTCGTTATCTAGGTATAATTATTGACAGTAACCTATCCTTCTATCCACATATTTGTAAGTCAATGTATCCACATCATAGATTTAGTACATAGGTATCCACATATACAAAATTTATCTAACAAAATTTGTAAACTTATTTATATTTTTAAACACCTACGAGATATAGCTGACAACAAAAACTTACGAAATGTATGTCTGACAAAATTTATCTAACAAAAGTAAACTTATTTATATTTTTAAACACCTACGAGATATAGCTGACAACAAAACCTTACGAAATGTATGTCTGGCGCTGGCGCAGTCTCTTCTTACCTATTGCGTCACGTCTCGGGGTGGAGCTGCTAAAAGTAATCTCATCATCATGATCGAGTGACTGTTGGGTGAAAGTAGCATTTTCCAAAACCCGATTTTATCCTACATCTCAACTCTACATCGAAGTGTAGTGAACTTACTATCGGTTCGACAGTTGTACTTACTTCTAACTCTAATGCGGCAACACACAATTATTTAGACTGTGCTACTATAAAATTTATTTTATTAAAGAAATAATATTACGACTTCTTGTGAGGAGTAAACTAGAATAATACTAAAAATCAATACGGATATAATTATATATTTATTTTCCTTTTAGCTTGCATGTACCACTCTGGTAAAATGATATCATTGACACGAGTAACTTTGATTAATTTATTAGCATCAATATCAAATTGTATAGTTATTGGTTCAACATTTTTTAAATTGTAGTTCTTCTCAAGAGTTTTAGTTACTTCATTTTTAAAGCATAGCTGCGCAAATGTTAAGAAGTAGTCCAAAAAATCTACTGCAGTTTGAGGATCCCACAAATTCTGAAACAGCATAAAACGATAAAGGATTATATTTTGTCCTTTGCCTTGTTGCAAAATTACAAAGACTAATTTCCGGTCATTAACGGTCGGAATAAATGGCGTATTTTGGTGTCGGAGGCCAAGATCCACTTCATTTAGAGTAGTTAGCGAAATAAGTAAGTAATTTCGATTGCTGACACAAATATTGATGTCAAAAGTCAATATAGATCCCCTATTTCAAAATTCAAAAGTACAACACGACTGATACACCTGCGGATCTTGACTCCCTCCCTCTCCATCTAAACGTCTCACTCCACTCTTGCTCAGTCAGTACAATTGCCACAGCAATCAAGAATGTTCTTCAATAGATTTTTGAGTTATTTTCCTATTTTAATTTAATTTGAAATTTCTTTACTAGTCTGTCAGAGTAGCCACTTTCATTGTCCTTGTTTTGAGAGGTTCACAGATATTTGTGATGGTTAAATTGTGGGTGTGATGGCTGTCTGATCAGAACTTTGATAAGGTAAATACAATTTACATACATAATTTTGTTACTATTTTTTATATTAGCGTGTTATATAAATTTAGGTACATTACCCTGCAATATCTGACTATTTCTGTAGTGTAAAACCATTGCAATCTCTGTATAATGCCTTCATCATTCCTGTATCCCACAAGAAGACCCTTCAAGTCTGCTAAATAGCACTGACACCAGCATCTGAATAGTTTGTATTTTCTAGAACAAATAAAGTAATAAATATAAACCATGAAATGGAAATTGCCCCTAGATCTCGTGGCTTAATCATCAAGGGGATTAATATGGGATTAATTCATTCAATGCAAGGTTTGAAAATAGCTTGATCAGTTATGAATATTTTGTTACTGAACATCTGATTTTCCAAGTAATAAAGAGATGGTTAGTAATCATTTGATGGCCGATGAATTGCATTAATAATAGATATTATTGTTATAAGCATGGACCAATAACTCAAGAGGACTGCTAATCGTCATACAAGATAGCGTAGCCGGGTATTTAGTACCTATTGGTACACTAGATGTCGCGACGATTACCAAATAGCTATTTTGTAACGTTATTTTACATTGACACATTGATTCTATCAAATCTGCTTCTAGTGATAACAAACACGTCAACTAGATGGCGCTATATTTTACCTCAAAATGGATATGCACCTGGAGTCGTATACAAATACATTGTAAAAAAAAACAATCGCAACTCACAACGTTTCCATCCTCTAAATAATAACTAGAACACTACTTTGTCTATTCTAATGCCATTTAGACATATTGATAGTTTAGCTTAAAATTATTCATATTTCAATGTTACTGGGTGTAAGAAGCGAGAAAAAACAATGGCTACGGTGATTTTAGGCTGAGAACACCGAACGTGCGAAATAATATTTTTTAATTTTATTTGTAATTCCAAGAAGTATGATATCGCAGATATTGCATTGGTCCCAAAGGGTCATATCGGAACGCCACACAGTGGGCCCAAATTGATAATTCTTGGACATAGGAATAACTTGTGGAGTATCGAGCAAATTTTTCTTATGTGATATATAATAACATTCCTAACAACTTTTATTCTTGTATGATTTCTTGAAAAGTTGATAGATTCAGAGAAAAAAAAATTTTTGTATGGACAAATATACATTTTATTTTTTATCTCAAAATATACGAAAATCTAATGTGCGTCGGTTACTTACAGTATAGTTCCCATCATTTTCTATGTAGAAAAAAATAATCCGTCT